TCATTCCAATGTATACTATAGGACAGTAAACCAGACATATCGTTTTAAACTGGGGAGATAAAAAAATATGCATAAATAAAATAGTAAAATAAGATATGAATGAACAACACAAATATAATAGGTTACATGTATTTGTTATTGGCTATGGTAAGTTATTGGTTATGTTCACATACTTATTTAATTATTAAAATGTAAACCAATCTTTTTCATATGAGTGTTTAGAGTTGTACCCCCTAGATCTAGTCTCTAGTAATTCTGCTTAAAGTGCGCCAGATTGAAGCATTTTACTTTAAAATGTTCAAACATTTCTTCCCGGTATGCCTGAAAAGGCAGATATGCTTGTTTTTCTCACCAAGAACTGTTTTTAAATGGGGGGGGGGTTCCTTTAAAAGTTGGACTGTTGCACTGTTGTAGCTTCAGTGGTTCTCAGGTTACAGTTACATAGCAGTGAATATAAACAGACTGATTAATGTGAATATTACTGTAAACTAACCTGTGTAAAAATTTCTCGAATAAATGTAATTTTTTTTGCCCCTCAAAGAATCGGAATTGAGAACCGTTAAGAACCGGAATCGAAAAGTAGAATCAGAGTCGGAATCAGAATCGTGGAAATTCAAACGATACCCAACCCTAGATGTACCCCTAAAGTGTTTCTCCTACCATAGACTTTAGGTTGATGGTTTGATTCCAAGCCCCTGCAGTCAACATATCCATGGGCAAGATACTAAGATTGACTGTCTAGGTTCTTTAAATCGCTTTCTAGGCTCATTAAGAAACACGTAGAAAATCAAAATGTTCTTAATCTGCACTCTGTCTACATCAACAAAAGAGTAAAGGTTATAGCTTTATCTCCAAACAACATCGCATGAGTAGAGTATGATGAATCTGAGCCAGTATTAAATGCGGCCTTTAGCCTTTGACAGTTTTCAATATTAAAAGCTAATATATGGACACAACTTACTTATTGACGAAACAAGTATTACATTTAAAAACCAAGCAATCTTTAGGATCACACACATACCTGCTATTCTCCGACCTGTACACCCCCACAGTTGTCTTTACCTTCCGTGGCTATAGCTAAATATTCAGCATTTCTAGAAGGAAAAGAGAAAAAACAATGTTGTGAAATATTGTCACATTTTTGACTATATAGAAATGAAATGGTGAACATTTTAAAAACGAATCTTCACGTTATGGTTGTAGGACAGGTTTTTGACTTACAGGAGGGAGGTTTTGTTTTTTTACTAGGGAGGAGGATGACACGGACAAGACGAAAACATGACAAGTAGACGCAGGGAACGTGGGACAAAGAGACACACGTGAAAACACACAAACACAATGGAAACATTGATAATCTTTAAAGGTAGGGAAGAGCGAGGACAGGTGAAGTAGGAGAGTAACATGAAGCAAAAACAAGATGTAACAAAGTAAAAGTTTAAAATATAGGTGTGACATCAGCAATAGAGCATGAATTAATGGGGAATTCATGAGGAAATACACACATTTCAAAGCATTATTTATTATTTGTTTAACATATCGCTGAGCTTGGTAGTAAGCTTTTTAGAGTAAGGTCCAGTAACACCAAATGTCAAAGAAATGTATGTTTGCTTAATTGAGCTGCAAAATATCTGCATTTTAATGCATATGTAACCGGGTCTTTCATTAGTTTTGTAAATCTTTCCAGATTTAACTTACTTAGAGCCAAGCAGATATATCCTAATTGGCATCTTTGCTGGCCAATAACCCAATGAAAGAATTGAAGTATGGATTAGGGCTGAACAATCTTATAAACCAAGCCGCTGAAGGCACAATAACAGTTCAATTCTAAATTTGTGTCAAAATACCATTTATGAAAAAATCTTGGTTTGGTACAGATCAGTCCGATCATGAAAAACGATGAAAGTGATCAATCCCTTGAACAACTTCAATCATATCGCAATTACAAGATCAACAATGTCAAAATTGTTCAGCCCTTGTTTGGATTGAGGTGATTTTAAAGCATTGCTTCCAATGCATGTTTTAGAACAGAACAGTACACATCTTAGCCACAATGTTTCCATAACCATATTTTAGCAATACTTATCAAAAATGGTAGCTTATGTTATGCATTTATGCTATAAAAACTGATTATGGCCAACAATCGTTGCTGGATTTTTTTAGGCTCATGAATATCTTTGAATATCTTATAAGGCCATAAAAATCCAGAATTTTGTTTGGTCTCTACAAGTTTGAATGTTATGGATAAAAACCTTAGATTTGCTTTTTTTCCTAATATAATTATAGAACACAAGGAAGACAAATGGGGTGCTCTCTATAGAGATTATAAAAAAGTAAGAAAAATAAAGATTGGATAAATAAATATATACAATCTGCATTTCTCCCAAATTTCCTCAAATTAAAGTTCCTGAAGCCATTCTTTGTAATGGCTTCACTCAGTTTTCTAAAAATGTATTTTTTTCATTCATAATTCTGTATACATGTAATCCAAGGTATTGTTTAGACTAGTATTATTGGGTTAAGTTGTTTGAATGTTTGTGTTAGTAAATAGTCTCTATCTATAAAATATCAATTGCACTGTAACCATTTAATAAAACTCAAACCGTCACAACTGGAGTTACAAGGTTCCCCATGGTGTAAGCAATATGTGAATACTGATGTTTATAAAATACTTACGCCGCTTCTCGTAATGCTTCCTCCCCATGAGCTGCTATTTTCCTGTAGCAGTAAATCATCTCTATGAGCAGCCACACCTGCAGGCCGATGACGGTAAAGTACATCATGAACTCGGACACGATGGAAGCCGTTCCTCGGGTCGCTGCGCACATGAAAGACAGTAAATCAAGAGATCAGACAGACACCAGAGAGGCCTCCTGACCAAGCAGAAACTGTGAGTGAAATTACAAAGAATGGGATTTTTCGGTAAGAGAGATCTGGAATGGAGATGCAGCTGCAGCTAACATCTTAAGCATTGTAAGTATGTTGTCTGGTTTAACTACATTAAAAGGTCCCATGTCATGGCCATTTCTACTGATCATAATTCCATTGTTGAGGTATACTAGAATAGATTTACATTGTTCAATGTTCCAAACTCACATTGGTTTCTCATACAGCATCTCTGTATAGTATGTGCATTCACTCTCTGTCCCCCCCCTCCCTGTGAGCCCACTGTGCTCTGATTGGTCAGCTCGCCCACTCTGTTCTGATGAGTCCACCACCGCAGGGCCGGCTCTAGACAATTTACAGCCCTAGGCGAGATTTGAGTTGGCGCCCCAGCCAGAGAATCGTACAATAGAAAAGATAAAGATCAATAGAGTATCCAAGGAATACACAATAGAATGGGGGGTGGACGTCACATCCTCTAGGGGGGTCCGGAGGTATGCCCCCCCGGGATTTTTTTTTTAACATTTTAAAGGTCCCATGTCATGCTTTTCCGGTTATTACCCGTCCCCTTGTGTGTTATGAAGGTTTTTCTGCATGTAAACGGTGTGCAGAGTCAAACCCTCAAAGTACACCCTGTAGCGAGTAAAACTCTAAAACAGAAAATACCTCCCCAAAACGCCTCGTTGGTGAAACGTCATCATGACGTCATCATCCATTTGATTCTTCCGGGTAGTGCTTACGAAAGCACGTACCCGGAACTAAATGGGCCAATCCATGGAGCCGTAACGTTACGTCCACGGAGCCGTTACGTTAAGCCCCCGCTGATTGGTCCAAATTGACCAATCCACACAAACACACTCAGTGCAGGCAGCCCTGCTGATTTCTGATCCGTGCTGCAGGCTGATAACAGACAGTTGGGATCGCGCGAAATTCTCTCTGCAGACCTATGCTGCAGACCCATTCTCACAGCGTTTATCAACATATAAACCTTTTTCTTACTCAATATCAAGCCACACTTATTGTTTTTATTTCGGCTGTGACTTTGTGTGTGTTCAGGTTGAGTTTGGCTGTGTATCGCTAAATAGACCCTCCAGAAAAACGCGGGCAAAAATCCTTGATTATGCGGGCTAAATTCCTTGATTATGCGGGCTAGAATCCTTGATTATGCAATTAAACATGCGGGGTTTTTATGTGATTTTATGCGGTGAAATTGCGGGAAGTTGCGAAATATGCGGAAAGTTGCGAAATATGCTAAATATGCGGGGAATATTGTCTCTCACACACAACCTGCCACTAACGTTAAACCCCTTTACTATTCAATTAAACACATTCAATGTTTATTTATTGTAAAAGAAATTGGGCTATTTTAATCTCACACACCCCCCCCCCCCACACACACACTTCTCCGCCTCATTCTGTTTTAATTTACTCGTTCGTTATCTGACCAGCTTCAATCTTGTAGGCTACTCACTTCGTTTCTTGTAGCCCTCGAAAGGGTTTTGGAGGTTGATGCCTCGGTGAACGTGAGTTGTTTGGCTTTCTTGTCCGCAGCAGCAGAAAGCATTTTCGAATGTTTGAATGAATCAAA